CCCCAAAACCCCAAAACCCCAAAACCCCTTCCCTCCATAAACTAAAGAAAATACGGAAGATATTCACAAAACCTTGAAGCATAGTCTTGGGTTTTTCGGACACCAACATACTCACCTCATGGCTGCCTTCTGCCTCTATAGTGCATACACGGTGGGATCCACTGCCCTCAGCTGGTCTTGGAGGTTGTTCAAGACTTTCCTGAGACCTGGCAGAAACTTGTTCAAGAGGTATCAAGGAGGATATGTGTTAGTCACCTTAGCCACATTTGGCCTTGGTCTCGAATATGCCATGCAGTTTGCAGCCAAGGGCTTCAACTTGGTCTTGGTCGCCAGAAACCAAGAAAAGTTGGATGCTGTAAAGAGAAAGTTCAAAGAAGAGTTTGGAGACATTGACATTAAGTTAATTGTGTTTGACTTTGACAAACCTTACACTGCTGAGGGCTACCAACCTCTCAAGGATGCACTTGATCAAATTGAAGATATATCTGTCCTAATCAACAATGTGGGTGTATTTAAAGCAGATTACTTTAAGGAACTTGATTTCTGAATGATCAAAACAATACTCAAAGTCAACCTTGTACCTCAGACAATTATGACAAAGCTTTTGCTTGCTAAACTTCTTGAAAGATCAAAGAAACAGGGTAAAAGGACTGCTAAACCTAAATAGTTGAAACGTGAAGCTCAGCTAGTACTTAGTTATTATTAATATCAGCTCAATCATTCGTTACACTCGTCGAAAATGATAATCTGTTTGATCAGCTACAAAGTCGTTTAGTAAGACTCTTTCAGATGTGTTAAGAAAAAGAGTATGGGAAGTACATTGACATCATGGCTGTGCTCCCAGGAATCACTAATACTCATATGGTCAACATAAATGCTCCTTTCGTCCTTCAGCCAGAACAACATGTAAGATTATCTTAAAACAGATTAATTTCAAACTCATTCAAACCTTTACTTTATAGGTAAGATGGACCCTTAGTGATCTTGGATACAACAGCCAGACCTTTGGCCACTATGAGCATTGGATTTATTGAAACGCCAACAGACTCCCTGGCTTTGATACATTTTATACAAGATTAAGACTGAGATTACTTGCTCAGCAGAAGAAAGAACAGGATAAATAGTTTCAATCATAATAGATTGTTTTGGGGTTTTGGGGTTTTGGGGTTTTGGGGTTTTGGGG